ACCTGGAAAAGATGTAGGCAAAGAGGCTTGGCTCAACTGAGTGAACGGGAGCTAGATGCTCTGCCCACCTTCTTTCTTGGTTGCTTCCGGCCTATCTTTTCTATCACCCTGGTTTGGGCCACCCAGCCTTGAAATTCTACCCCTCTGCGAGGCTTGGTAACTGGCCACAGGCTTTCCCAGTCTCCTTTGGTCAATGTGGTCGGACTTAGAGCAGTCAAGCAAGCCCGTGCACGGTCTCCTTCGCCGGCAGGGTGTGGGCAAGGCTGACGTCCCTCCACGTGGCACTGCTGATCCACTAGGCTGGCTCCGGAGTCACCAGGTCCTGTCCTGGGACCAGCCATGCTCTCTTCCTGAGCTTAACTGCCTCTTCCCACTCTCATACTCCTGACAGACCCCCAGCCCCTACTGGCCAAGGCTTCCACAGTCTCCAGGAACAAGCAGCCCTGGGGGTCCCTGCTAATGCCTTTCACTCCTCACAACAAGCGGAACCAAGCTGTCCCTCCCCTGGCTGGGACCAGTACAAAGGAACGACCCAGCCTGCCCACACTATACATCTGTGCTGAGCCCTGGCCCTGGGGACATTACCAAACTGGCTTCAGGCTCTAACTTTCAGTTTCCCTCACAAGCGGCCTCCTAACCTAGGACTCCCCTGAATTTTGTATTGTATGTATTTTATTTTATTTACACCAGCTCTCTTTTCCCCAGGGTCCTTCTTGCTAGAGAATGCTAGAGCAGCTGGGGGTTTCCTTGTGCTCACCCTCTATGCAGCTTGAACTTAACCCTTTAGCTTTGAGCAATTCTTTTTTCTTGACTTAAAAATTCCCAGCCATGGGAGCCTCCCAGGTTCACAGGGGAGTGGCCTGGCTGAGGTGGCACAGGCAAGAGGGTCCTGCTGCATGATGCTACAACATCTGGGAAGGCTCCAGGTTCATGGCCTGGGTCTGCCTCAACAATGCCAGGCATGCCCACACGCCTGGCTGGCCGCAGGGCTGGGGAGGGCTCATGGAATGAAGACCCTGTCAAGGGTGCTTACCACCTTCCCACTCTGTCTCAACAAAGAATTGCAGAGAGGTTTGAAAAACTACTCATCCCCCACACCAGAGCCCCCAGCGTGGCTTGCACTCTTGGGGAATAAACACCCTGCTACCAGCTCTCAGCGCCTGCCCTCTTGCAGCAAATGGGACTGCCGATGTTGTCAGGAAGCTCGTGTACCTAGTACCCACAGCCCCCATGGGCCTGCTGCAGAAGGGAGGGAAACTGCCACTTGGACCAAGTACCCACCTCCTCCCCATGGTCCCAGACCAGAAGCTGCTCGGAGCCAGCCTGCTACTCAAGTACTTGCACACCCCAGCTGGAGACACAGGAGACCCCGCCAGCCTTGGTTTCTGCTCCTTCCTGCTCCCTGCACACTCAGCAGTGACCTCAGCAGGTCACTGACTGAAACCACCAGACTGAACCACCCCACCCGAGACAGAGCAGTTGCCCAGAGCCTGACCCATCGGTGCCAGCTCCCCTGGTCCCAGTGGGTCTCACCTGCCCCATCACCCTTTTTTTTTGAAAGAGGCTTGGCTCAACTGAGTGAACGGGAGCTAGATGCTCTGCCCACCTTCTTTCTTGGTTGCTTCCGGCCTATCTTTTCTATCACCCTGGTTTGGGCCACCCAGCCTTGAAATTCTACCCCTCTGCGAGGCTTGGTAACTGGCCACAGGCTTTCCCAGTCTCCTTTGGTCAATGTGGTCGGACTTAGAGCAGTCAAGCAAGCCCGTGCACGGTCTCCTTCGCCGGCAGGGTGTGGGCAAGGCTGACGTCCCTCCACGTGGCACTGCTGATCCACTAGGCTGGCTCCGGAGTCACCAGGTCCTGTCCTGGGACCAGCCATGCTCTCTTCCTGAGCTTAACTGCCTCTTCCCACTCTCATACTCCTGACAGACCCCCAGCCCCTACTGGCCAAGGCTTCCACAGTCTCCAGGAACAAGCAGCCCTGGGGGTCCCTGCTAATGCCTTTCACTCCTCACAACAAGCGGAACCAAGCTGTCCCTCCCCTGGCTGGGACCAGTACAAAGGAACGACCCAGCCTGCCCACACTATACATCTGTGCTGAGCCCTGGCCCTGGGGACATTACCAAACTGGCTTCAGGCTCTAACTTTCAGTTTCCCTCACAAGCGGCCTCCTAACCTAGGACTCCCCTGAATTTTGTATTGTATGTATTTTATTTTATTTACACCAGCTCTCTTTTCCCCAGGGTCCTTCTTGCTAGAGAATGCTAGAGCAGCTGGGGGTTTCCTTGTGCTCACCCTCTATGCAGCTTGAACTTAACCCTTTAGCTTTGAGCAATTCTTTTTTCTTGACTTAAAAATTCCCAGCCATGGGAGCCTCCCAGGTTCACAGGGGAGTGGCCTGGCTGAGGTGGCACAGGCAAGAGGGTCCTGCTGCATGATGCTACAACATCTGGGAAGGCTCCAGGTTCATGGCCTGGGTCTGCCTCAACAATGCCAGGCATGCCCACACGCCTGGCTGGCCGCAGGGCTGGGGAGGGCTCATGGAATGAAGACCCTGTCAAGGGTGCTTACCACCTTCCCACTCTGTCTCAACAAAGAATTGCAGAGAGGTTTGAAAAACTACTCATCCCCCACCCCAGAGATCCCCCACACCAGAGCCCCCAGCGTGGCTTGCACTCTTGGGGAATAAACACCCTGCTACCAGCTCTCAGCGCCTGCCCTCTTGCAGCAAATGGGACTGCCGATGTTGTCAGGAAGCTCGTGTACCTAGTACCCACAGCCCCCATGGGCCTGCTGCAGAAGGGAGGGAAACTGCCACTTGGACCAAGTACCCACCTCCTCCCCATGGTCCCAGACCAGAAGCTGCTCGGAGCCAGCCTGCTACTCAAGTACTTGCACACCCCAGCTGGAGACACAGGAGACCCCGCCAGTCTTGGTTTCTGCTCCTTCCTGCTCCCTGCACACTCAGCAGTGACCTCAGCAGGTCACTGACTGAAACCACCAGACTGAACCACCCCACCCGAGACAGAGCAGTTGCCCAGAGCCTGACCCATCGGTGCCAGCTCCCCTGGTCCCAGTGGGTCTCACCTGCCCCATCACCACAGCCATGAAAACTGCCCGGAAATTCCTCAGGTCAGCGGCCTGCAGCTCGGCCACGATGCCAGCGTCCAGCAGTACCAGCCGCAGAGGGCGCAGGGCAGGCGTCACAGCCACTACCAGCGTGTCACACACGTCGACCTGTTGTAGCTGCGCCTCCCGGCTCCTGGGAAGGCCATCAGCTCCCTGGACCAGGATGTTCCCCGGGTGAAGGTCCGCATGCACAAAGTTATCCACGAATATCTGGAAGGAGACTGCGCTGTCCTGACTGACCAGCCCTCACCACCCTGGCACCACCAAACCACATGCAAGAAAGGGTCCCAGGGTGACAGCCCCAGTGAGCTGCTGCAGTCGTAAAGAAGCATGTGTTTTATAAAGTTTCATTGTTTGGTGTTGTCGATTCAGAATGTGTACAGGGACAAGCTAAGGTGATGTCTGAGGGAGCCATATCTTACATGGCCAACTGTGGTTCAAATCCTGGCCTTGTAGACTTGAAAAATACACTGGCATGTGTGCGTACATGCCCCAAATCCTAACAGGATGGAGAAATGGAGGAGAAGGGATTGTGGCATGACCACATCCAATGGGGGTGAGGGGGTGGTGCTTTCTTTCTCCCTTTCTCTCTCTCTCTAGCAAGCACTCTCTGGCAATTAAAAGGAAAAAGAAAAAAATTATTTTCAAAGAGCATTTTAAAAGATTATAACAGAACACAAAAAGTCTAAGACCAAGCCACCAAGTCTTTCAAAAGACTTATTTTTACTTTATGAGTTGAGTCATTAACATACTAATTTAAAATAATTATCCAGTCATTGTTTAAAGATTTCCCCAAAACCTCTGTCCTTAAAATTCATGAGACTCCGATAGCATACTAAACTGCAGTGCTGGAAGCCACGTGGCTGGTACAGGTTCGTTTCCCAGCCCCAGCTGGTCTGAAAAATGCCAAGCCAGTCCTATCTCTCTCTCTCTCTCTCTCTCTCTCTCGTCTCTTATATACACTCAATCATGAGCTATCAGAAACAAAATTAACTTTTTATTATTTTATTTTATTTTTACTGCCAGATATAAGCACTCACTAGAGAGGTCTGAGAAAGAAAACACTCCCGAATTGGGCACACTCACGCCACAGTCCCTTCTCCATTTCTCCATCCCATGAGGATTTGGTTCAGGTACAAATACACACCATGTTTTTGAAGCACCAGGGCCAGGATGCAAACTTCAGTCAACCATATGAGAGCTGGCTCCCAAGGGACAGCACTTAACCACTGTACTAAGTGGCCAGTCCAATGAACTTTTTTTAAAAAAATCACGCATTTCTTGGGACCAGCAGTTAGCATAATGGCTATGTCGCTGGACTCCCACGTAGTCAACTGCGGTTCGCGTCCTGGACCCAGTGGCTTAAAACTCACGCTGGGCGCGTGTGCATGCGTGCCCAAGATCCGGAGAGGAGAATGGAGGAGAAGGGATTGCGGCGTGGCCATCCCCCCTGGGGGGTGATTTCTCGCTTTCTCTCTGTCTGTCTGCCTGGCAAGCACACACGCTCTATAGCAAAAACCTCTCAAAAAAAAAAAAAATTCATGCATTTCTTTAAAAAGGTTCATAAATTAGACCTTCTTTCCATTACCTTCCCTGACAACATCAGTGAAGTATGACAGTGAGTGAGTGATACTGACAGCCGCAGCCATACAGCCGGCCTCTGTGCAGGAAGACTTCCTGCACAGAGCTGGTGGGCAGGGCAGGCGTGGCTTTGAACCTACTGAACTGGAGAGCAAGCTGTAGGGACTGTGCTGGCCAGGCGTTTAGGCCGGCTTGTGGAGCAGGAACGGGCTGCCACAGAAGCTTATCTCTGTGGTCAGAGAAACCTCCAGCAATCCTCCCACAGGGGATGAAAGGGGGGACACGAACAGGGATAGAGCTGCTGCTGGTGGTCAGGCTCGGAGACTCTTGCCAACACAGAGCCCTCCTCATAACCTGCATGGCCACAGGTCACAGAGACCCTCCCAGTCCTCTCCCCATATGCAATGTGACCATGCACTAGGCCCGAGCACCCATCCCGGCCACCAGCTCACCATCTTCAGGAGCATGTTGATCCCCAGCCGAGCAATCTT